ATCTCAGAGTGCACCAAGACTTTTTGCAAGAGTATTGTCATTGTTTTTTTATATGAAACAACATCCTATATAAAAAAAAATGTTTGTCGATCAGATATCTCTACTTGCTCGTCATTCCGGCAACCCTCCGTACTGAAGTGCTTCTAGCATGTCACAACGAGCCGACTTCTGGTCACTTAGGCTACATGTGCACATTGGTGAGAGTTTAGCAAAGATACTACTGGCAGGGGCTCACTACTGCCATCAAGCGACACATTCAAACTTGTTTGGACCACCAGCGACGCAAGCCTCTTCTGACGAAACCAGCCGGCCTGTTGCAACATGTTCAGGTCCCAAGTACGCCATTTGACTCGATCCGACATATCGTGGGTCCGCTTCCTACTTCAGCTGCAGGGAACCACTGGGTTATCATCGCGACGGATTACCTTACCTTCTACGCTGAAACGAGAGCTATCCAACGAAGTGCAGTAGCGGAGGTAGCCAAATTTTTCATAGAAAATGTTGTGCTGCGACATGGTGCACCTACCGTCATGATAACAGACTGCGGGACCACATTCATGACGGCTCTTCTTGAGCACGTCTGGATGTTAAGTGGAACGAGTCATCGAAAGAACACTGCCTACCTCCTGCAGAGGAACAGACTGACAGAGCGCCTAAACAAGACAATTGAAGATATGCTGTTGGTGTACGTGGACGTTCGACATAAAAATTGGGACGAAATCTTACCTAGCGTACAATATCTTACCTAGCGTACAATATAGCTAAGCAAGAAACGACTGGCATGAATCCATTCAACCTTATTCACGGACGGGAGGTACAGACAATATTGGATGCCATGTTACCACATGAATGAGATGACAATGGCACAGTCACTGACATATTTATAGAATGCGCAGAAGAAACCAGGCAGCTCGCATGCTTGCAAATCCGCCAGCAACAACATTACGACGCAGGTAGCTACAATGCCCACCGGAGAGCAGTGACTTACGAAGCCGGTGACCAAGTGTGGGTTTGGATACTCATACGAAACACGTGAACTCTTCGAGAAACTCTTAAAGCGATACTTCAGACCGTATAGAGTATTGCAAAAGTTGAGTGACATCACCTACGAGGTCGCCCCCGACAATCCCTCTTGCACCAGGCATCGACACAAACGGCCTGAACTTGCACATGAGGTACGCATCAGGCCATGTCAGTGACTGACTGTGCGTTTTCACACAACGGTAGCTCGTATGTAGCATCGATGTGATGCTCCTACAAGGAGGGGCAAGTGACACGTGTATATACGTATAGAAGAGAACAATGATGGAGGTGTTTTGCAGATTCCGGGTAGCGGGCCTGTAGCTTTAGCAGAGGAAGACAGAGAGGGCATTCTGTGTACAGCCGATTCTAAAACACGCTGTCGCAACTTGTTTCACCTTTTGTTTTGGGTACACCGCGACAATATGCTATATATACTACAGCATATATATACTTGACACCTACGTAGCGAGATTAATAACGCGAAATCTTACTTTCTAGGCTACGTACTCCCTACTATGTTAAAGACAAACACCAATAAGCTTTGGAGCGTTATCAACCCCTCACATGACGAAAATATATCTCAGGAGGATTCATCAGGCCATCATATTCCAATAGAACAGTGTGCTTCAGCTCTTAACGACACATTTACAAAAAGCTTTTCCGCCTCCCACAGTAATCGCCTTTCTCCCACTCATCAATATGATTTTGTTGTGCTTCCAGTGATTGTTGACATCGATGGCGTTGTAAAACTTATCGACTCCCTGAGCCAGCCATCACCCTTCACCAGGTTATGACTATCAGCACAAAATTTCTAAAAACACCAAGGTCATTAATTCAATTATTCTCGCAAAACTTTTCAGCAATCACTGGATTCATCTACTCTGCCTATACCGTGAATAAATGAAAAAGTTGTACCACTTCGTAAACCAAGCAACAAAAGTCTCGCAACTAATTATCGTCCCATTTCACTCTTGAGCTACTAGCTGCAAGCTGTAACCTACTAGCTGCAGTAAAACCTCGTTAATTCAACCTGTTATTTTGAAATCCCGCTTAATTACAAGAATTTTTGCGGTCCCGTATTTTCCAATATAAGTTAGAGTGGATAATTTGAAGCAGCGGCCGGCACCAGTCAGAATAATTCGAAAACTTTGGGTACCATGTCCCAGCTCTAGATCTCGAGTTCGCCGCAAAACCGCGAAAACGACGGTCATTAATTGCCACAAGGCAATGCAACGTATCAATGCTAATGAGTGGCAGCTGAAGCACCCCAGTCTCGCTACTTCTGGTGCAAAAAAGAAAGAAGAAAAAACGGTCTCGTGGTCAACCAAAACGTGTGCCTGTGGAAAACGAGTTGCGATTCACTGAAACATAGCGGTGACACGTGGGCAGCTTATTGCATGTGTCTCCCAACCTCAGCGGGTTATGGCTCACTCATTTTCTCTAGGAATGTAAGGAAATTAATGAAGAACAGTTCAGCGGAAATCGTGATGTGTGCGAACCTCCGATTGCCAGCTGAATTCGTGTCTTTGCACTGCTGGCGGAGTTCTCGCCAGCAACACCTACTTTGAAAACTGAGTTCGAAAGTTTCAAAGATAATTTTTTTTCTAGCCAAAACACATTGTGATCTTCGTCATGCTGGCCATTACTAAAATCATAATTATAATAGAAAGAATGTGCGAATGGTCGCATCATGACGAACTGACGCAGCGAGGAGCAGGCGGCATGGTGCCAGCGTGTCACTACTGTGTTGCAGTGAAGGTGTCTTGTTTTCCGCAAGGGCTCAATTTAATCGATCACGACCGCGTTTTCTTTTATTTTTAAATGCGAATCCTTTCTTAGCGAACTTCAGCGACTTTGAGCGTATCTATCTGGGCGCTTACGTTTGGCTGCTCTCGTGGTTACCTCCTTAACTTGGCGTGAACCAAAATTAGCATGGGAGGTAAGATGGTTTGACGAACATGACACGCTGGTCAAGACATGAATAATGTCACAATCCAGTTGCGTATGCTGTCAAACACTTCCCGTCAGACAGTGGCACATACCCACGCGGCACATACCCACGGGCGGGTATGTGCCGCTGGTATGCGGGTATGTGCCACAAGTGAGTGACACTTAGTATCTACCTAGGAACGACAAGAACACACATAGGTTATTTTAACGTAAGGGTTGAGAAATACCCGACAGTAGCGTCGACCCAACAATGGCACAGAATAAATGTCCGTGTTAAGAAAAACCTGACATAAGCAGCGTTGACCCCCTGATAAATGCAAATAATAAATTTCAGGGTGCCAGCAGGAATCGAACCCAAGCATTTTGCATGGCAGTCAAGCATTCTACTACAGAGCTACGCCAGGTCTCAGAACTACTTTTCAAACAGACGCTAATCTTCATGAAACGTCAACAGTGGTTTCAGTGCCACCTACCCAATCTTATAAAACATTACATATGTACTCCATTGATACAGCAGCCACGTTGGGGTAATGTAAATTGTGGTTAGTTGCCATGCACTGAAGTTCAAGGGAACCCCATAAGTCATGGCCACTGTCCGGGCACGCCGGACCCATGGCATGTTGGGCTGGAAAGTTATAATATCAACTTCAGATAAGCCTGCGGAAATTTCGAACTAGAACGAATCTCACCCCTAGCTGCCAAAATTCTTAAATCCTCTCCACAGGTAGGTTACCCCTCTCCCCGCTCACTAATCTGGCCATCAGGGCCTGGCAGGCAAAGAGGAGGTGCACACGGCCGCCTGCACACTTATTCCTCAAGCCACTGTTTCTCCCAGCAATGAACGCTGTGATCCAGAAAGAAAAGAACACTCCTCTCCTGACTTTTAGAGAGATAATTACCTATTATCGGGACTCCCACTGCCACTTTCCTGCACACTGCAAAGGATTCGGAAAGGTGGACAGGAGAATTCTTCTCTGCCTGTTCACCAATACGCTACTGTACCTAGCACCTGCTTAAGCATTTTCAACTCTTTCTTTTCCGGCTTCTGCTAGTACTGTGCAGAAGTGGCTGACATGCCAGCTTAATTCCTCTTTACCCCCCTAACTCCAATGCCACCAGAGAGGACTGGGAGGCGGCCCTGCTCGGCTGTGTTAGATGGCAGCACACCTATGTTATGGGTGCATGCTGTGCCGTTGACGTGGTTGCGCTTTGTTTTCGCGCCACTGTGCTTGCATCTGTGCAGAAGTGGCTGACATGCCAGCTTAATTCCTCCTTACCCCCCTAACTCCTATGCCACCAGAGAGGACTTGGAGGCGGCCCTGCTTGGCTGTGTTAGATGGCAGCGCACCTATGTTATGGGTGCATGCTGTGCCGTTGACGTGGTTGCGCTTTGTTTCCGCGCCACTGTGCTTGCATGGCGCTATAAGCAAAGAAGTTTCTTGTGTGTTTGACATATGGCACTCTGCCTCACAGGGCATGACCTTTAAATTTTAATTAACAACCACCGCGTTCGCGCTGCTCGCATCTATTTAGCATCGTTGTTAAACTATGTTTTGACTTTTATTGCATTGTTATTTTGCGACATAATGGCGTGATACATCGGCATTTGTTTCGATCATCAATAACACTGGCTATTGCACCTAAATAAATGAACAGAGACATTGAAAAATAATTTTTTTTGAAGGACCGAGGTGGGTTCATTATGTGAGTAAACACGGTATATGTACAAGTAAAACAAAAAACAGCTGCTTGACCGAAAAGCATCTCGAATGCTTTCCATGACACTATAAGTGTGCATCTATAGATGAACAAATTTCACTTGCGCATGCAACAAAACGCACACGTGATGACTGACCTGTTTCTGTCAGGTATCTTACAGCAGGGGCATGCATGGCCAGCTTGAAAGAACAATGCGACTACACTAACCTGTTTACTATGACCACATACAAGTGGGGACAGTGGCATAACGCATGTCATGGGGCCATGCGTCACTTGTGTGCGTGAAAGAAGCAGGCAGAGGTACTCACCACTCCGCACGGGGGAAACCATGAGGGGGGGGTTGCTGACCTGGCCATTTGTTTCGGTAACCTTGATGGAAATGTCGCTCGGACGATTGCTCTTACCCTTCTTGAACTCGATCTCCTCGTAGGGCCGCGTGTCCGCCTCCTTGGAGACCGAACTAGAAAAAAGGGGCCGAAAAACAGGGGCTGCTGCAGGATGATGCGGGGAGATGGGTTAGTCTCTGTACACACCAGCGTGGGTGCTACTCAAATGCCTTCCATTTCACACTGCAAGCAAAACTTTGTTCCTCTCTGCACAATTACAATAGGGTTTTCATATAAGGGCTGCACCGAGCATGAATGACAAACAGCCACCAATTAGGAAAGACACCACTAACAAATTCTCTGCATAACAATAGAAAACGTGCTTGACACTATGCACATGCTCTTACAAGAGGAAACTTCAGTTGGGATGGCCAAAGAATGGCTGCATATGCAGCCAAAGTATGAAAATGACAGGTGGAGTTTGTCACGGAAGATATGATTCAGTGTAATTACACAAAGTGAAATGTTAGTCGTCGTCCTAGTTTGCGAGTACAGAAATGCTTCCTCATGAACCTTGGCAGTAAGAGCATACCCAAAAACTGACACTTCTTCAGCTGTTGTCTTTGATGAGAGAAGGGGCCTTAGCATAATACTGAAATTCACTTAAATTATTCGAAAAAAGAAGTTAAAACTCACTCCATATTTATTTTAAGAAACAATGCACTGCGCTTTAGTCAAAATGTTTGTGCCACTTGAGCAGTACGGTTAATGCTTCTTCATCCACAGTTTAGAAGATCACCCAGAGTCAACAAAGTGTGTGTGCCAATATTTCTAAGACTAATTTGATTACATCACCCTTTAGTCCCACACATTAATACTGTGCATTAACAGAAGCGATTCAGTTCATCACAGCACACCAATGTGACTCAACATAGGTTCATACATAAGAGTGAACAGCTACGAAAACTTGTTATTGAGTACTAAATAATTTTAATTAGCAGCTGTCCTATCGGAATTTTTTTTTCATCTCTTTGTGGTAATGTGATGTTTCCCTGCCGACCTGCCGAAGATGCCGCACTCTGTAAAGCAAGAGCAGTGTGCTCAGGAAAAGCATTTAGTATGTGCCACGAAACCAACCGTCACCAGACTTGTGTCCTTTCCTTCAGTACGACGACAGTTTTTCTTACTTCGACCAATTGAGATCTCGTGCAAGACTGCTCTGTAACTTTTTACTGACTGAGGTAGCCTGTCGGGTAAACAAGGGAGTGAAGTGCACACTACACTACCACCTCTGTGGCTCCTTGTTTATTGCTTGCCATGCAACAAACTGCTGCATACACGGAAAGGTGCACCGCCATCGTCACCATTTCAAGGCTATTTTAGCATGCCACTTTACTGCACTCAAATGGGCTTCTTACTTTCATTGCTGCCATGTGCCTCAGCCCATGCTGATTTTAGGGGCGAAGCTCCTTATGGCGTGGCTTGGGCGTCCCTCGTATGTAACCACCAGTGGCACATACCCAAAATAGGTATAACACTTGACCTCCAAGGTGGTGCCAGTGAGAGATTTCTTCTGTGCGTTGTTTAACAATAAAAAATAGTGCTCAATGTACATGCCAATGGCTGCTAATGGGGAATGAGAGACATGAGCATTCGGCTTTTAGTCAACGCGCACGCTGCGATCCCCATTAGCAGCCATTGGCATGTAATGTACATTGAGCACTATCGGACAAGAAAGGGATGCTACATTATACTCGCTGGGTGTAACCTCCTTAGCTTTAGAAAGGTTTAGCGAGCGTTGAGCCGCAGTGCCATGAATACAATGAACTTGTATATACCATGAATGAACTCAAGGTGGTTAAAAATGAGAAGTAGATACGAAGCGCAAGCCGTAAGAAAGTAAAAGCCGAATTCTCCTGTCTCTCATTTCTCATTAGCAGCCATTGGCATGTAAATTGAGCCCTATCTGACAGGGAAAGATTGCTACGTTATACTCGCTGGGCGTAACCTCCTTGGTTTTCGAAAGGTTTAGCGAGCGTTTGGTCGCAGTGCCATGAATACAGTGAACTAGAATATACCATGAACTCGAGGTGGTTAAAGGTGGGAAGTGGACCCAAAGCGCAGGCCGTAAGAAAGTGTGCGTGTGCCACCTCTCGTTTAGTCCTTGGAATGTCCGCTGGATGGCGGTGCTTCTATATGGGGAATATATGATAAAAAGATGCGAGATGGTGGGACTTGGAGTGTTGAATTGATGAACGAACGGACACACAAACAGATGCATGGATGGACGCATGAACGGACGCAGGGGCGGATGCATGAAAGAACGCAGGGACGGGCGCACAAACAGACGCATGGACGGTCACACAGACGGACGCATGGACGGACGAATGCTTCGCCCCACTCTCCATGATTCACTCCGTGAATATGCTGCCATTTTTTTTTTTTGGTGGACTTCCCCCTTCTTGTCCCAGGTACACATACTCTTGTCATAGAATGGTTGCCAACTACAAACTCTTTTTCACCAAACTATTATTAATTGTTACATTTGCCTTACAACTGTGATCATCCCTTGTCATACCACACAATAATTACCGAAAATCATGATGACGTCTGCAAGCCATACCCCATCTTTATTGCAATTTCTTCTGAATTCAGTCATTTAAATATTCTTAAATGTGCAGAAAATACCACCAGATAGACTGTGTCTCCTTGTTCTTCCACTTTGCTGCTTTCCTTGAGGAGAAGCAAGAAAGCTGTGGAAACTTTGCAGATGCGGATTGTGGTCCCCGGTACGTATTGTGCGCTCCTTCATGACACAACGCCTCTGAAAGTGCTGGGGGCATGCATTACTGGTCTTCAGTGGCCTCCAGTGGTCAACTAACTCGCTTGTGAGTCGACTCACCCGCACCGAACCGCTAGTTTTAGTGAGTCCAGAGGTGGTTTTGAGTCTCGTCGAAGAAAAATTTCGTGAGTGTCAAGTGAGTCCAAAGCACAACATATATTTCTTGGAGAGTCTGCGAGAGTTTCATATATATATATATATACTTCTGACCTGATCAACTCATCTTCAGCATTACTTGGATTTATGACTCGCATTTACTCACACGTATTCCAAAGCAGTGTCTTTCATGCACCCTTTCAATATATATTGGTGTAAATTAGGTGTTTGACTCCCGCCCCCCAGACAACTCTGCCCAAGAAGTTCTCGATAAATGTAACTTATGTTGCCATTTCTTTCATGAAAAATGTCCCCTCTCATTTGCAACCACTGATAAGGTGCTAGCATATCAAAAGGCACCAAGAAGAACACGGATTACACGAGGTATTGGTGTTAAAAAGCCTCGACACCATATTTGAAAAAACTAATTCTAGGCTGACAGACTCGTGAGTTGACTTACTCAGACTGATATTGAGCTGTAAGTCTGAGTGAGCCCAGCTACAGAGAACTTCGGTGAGCCTGACTCCAAGTGAACTTTACAATTTTTGATGATGGCCTGCTGTTTCAGAAATCAGCTTAGTCATCAAACACCACTTTCTTCTTGATGCTTTGAACTACTCAGCAAGGGCCACTCAAAATTCCTTTGCTAACATCTTGACTGCATATGTGTTAGATTACATGTAACCTCACTAACCTATCACATCTACATACAACTCACTAGTTTTGAAACATGTACTAGATCTGAGGTGTAATCGATCTTCCATTTTTCCACTAGGGCTTTTTCATGTTCACTTCCCATTTTTTATGCTTTTTACAGACGGAGATGACTTTGTTTATTCAAATTTCCTCCTGAATTTCTTCTCTGCTATTAATAGAACTGATGCTGAATGCTTCTTCACCTGTCTGCTTTTCAGCCTATATGTTGAGTTTTACAAGCTGCCAGAGACTAGTGTTCAGCATAGGGGATCGAGGTGGACTGCTGGCAAACAGAGAAGAACCGTACTGCCTCTCTGAAATTGGGAGTAGGTAGTCCATGTCTCCATTTGCGGCGGCATCATTACCGCAGGTTCTTGAGGTGTTGCATGAGGGGCAAGATCTCAGTTGAGCTGGACTGCTTCTCAAAATAAGTAGGACTGTAAATGCCGAGCTAGTGAGAGCCCTTTACCAAAGCAGCCCATGTTAGCGAGCCTACAGCACTCAGAGCAGACTTGAAGCGCCATGGCAGTTCACTCCTTATTGTGCCACACATCTTTTTCCCTTAGACTTGTATGACCAGTGGCTCTGATAAATAGCTTTCCTTCAGGGTTTGAGCTGGAGAATTACCGTTCTAAATGGGTATTTTACGGTACAACAGCAAAGCCAGCTTTTACAAGTGAGTCTTTCATTGTGCACACCATGCCTCTCCATTGCTCCGAGGAACACCATAGGCGGGCGGTAGAGCGACAGACGCCATCTCACTGTGCAAACTCTGCAAACCCACTGGACACAAACTGGTCAGTTGTCAGTGCGGACAAAGTCTGGGCAACGTAGCTCTCTACTTCGAAGGCCAGATCATTGGGCAAGTTGTATTTTATTGTAAATGGCATGCGCGACTGTTCATGTTTCTTTGTGTCCTGAATTCTTCATGCAAGTGGCATTTACAGTAGCTCTTGATTAACGAGATGACTGCTGGTGCCATTCTGGATGCCACCGAGCCCACTTGAGGGAAATCACAATAATAATATTCAACTATTAAGACGAAATCGTACAATTTTAGGTGATGCCAATGTGCTGCATTGACCTGTTGGGTGTAAATGTTGGCAACAAAGGCTCAGACCACTGAACTCGAGCCTCGGTCTATACTGCACATTTCAAGTTTCAAGTTTAATTCGCATTTCCTTTTTACAAGAAAAAAAAAAAGAGAATAAACAGCAAGGAACAAAAAGTTGCAAAAGAGCAGCTTGACGAGGTTCCTTCCTCTTTGGCTTGGCGACAAAACGTACAGTATATATATATATATATTTAGTGTGGGCATTTGTTACTTGCATCGTCCTCATCCCTGCATGATCACAATCACCATCATCCGCTTGTCTCTTTGTCCTCATTGCCACTCTGGATCATCATCATCGTCATCGTGTGTGTACTGGCTCTGCCCGTTCGTTTTGCGAGGTCTTTCCTCAATTAAACGCTGTTGCAACCCAGACTACCAAGACTTCA